TGTAATTTGTATCCATAAGATTCGGGTTATAGCCATATTTCCAACCCAGATCACCACTTTTATTAGATCCCGAAGAAGATATCTCAAAATGATTCAAACAATCTAAAAAATAAAAATTTTCACTATTAGACCTATAAAATATTTTCTAATGTCAACCTCTAAAATATTTTCTAATGTCAAAATATTCTAAAAAACTAAATCTAATCTCAATGGATGATGTTTAGATCGATTTCTTGTAACTTTGAGAAATCCTTTGATCCTATGAAAATCCCAAAAATCTAATTTTCTAAGGTTTTTCTTTCTCTAAAATAGGCTCTAATAGGGTTTAGGTTTCAAATGAACCTAAAACTCACTTTTATCCCCTTGTATTTTTCAAAAAGAACCCAAACATGCCCCTCAGCGAGTGGCATTTCCGCCCGTGGGCGGGGCGCAGGCCCCGCCCAGGCCCTCTGGACCGTCTAAGCGTTGGGTGGTCCACCTTTTAGAACACTGGTCCCAACTTGCCGGTAGTATTCTATTTGTCAAAGACCTCGCCATTGCTAAATCTTGGTTGTTTCACCCCTCCGAGCAAGCAATTATACATAATCTGAAGATCCGATGATACTTGTGGAAACCAAGAATCCCCATACAGATTTCTTTGTCCTCCGCACGTTATTGTTCCTTCAAATTAAACATTGACTGGACCTCCTTTCAAAATCTCGTTGTTGCCTTTGCTAAACCACCAGGTACTACTTCCAACAACATCGTAGAGTATAAAGCACTAGGAGTGGGGATCGACTTTGCGATTCAACTGCGCTGCTTCCCTCTATTCATTGAGAGCGATTTCTAGATTCTAGTAGAGCCGATGCGTGGCAGATATAAGGCCCCATGGAGACTACATACCCTTGCCGCCAATTGTCTATACAGACTATGCTCGTCTGGTCATAATTGGTCTATCTCACGTCTACTAGGAATTGAACATTTTCACGGACTCTCTCGCTAAGAAGGTTGCCACCTTTTCGGAAGCCAGCGTGTGGAGAACCCTCTATGTTAGGGTTGTATCTTGATGCACGTTCAATATTTTCTTTTCGGTATTAATTAAAACAGGTAGGGGTCCCTAACTGCCACTGATTTATATATATATATATATATATATAATCTTCTGCTCTATCAAGAGCCATACTCTCAATGAGGCCATATCCCCATATCTTCGTAATTTCCAACCTTGTCCTTTTGAGCCTATCCCCTGTCCTTTTTGAGTCCTCCACTTGGACCAACTCGCACCTCGGAACAGGTGCTGTACTAGATCTGCGCTACATGTGGCCAACCTACCTAAGTCTACTTACTCTCATCTTATCGTCTATAGGAGTTGACCCCAAATAGTTGGGAGAAGTCCTTGATGATGATGATGGTGAATTTACTCCTACTAGGCAGATTATGGAGATGGCTTCTGATACTCAAGGATTAGTCATTATATGTTATGCTGTCCCTGTATGGTTTGGTAACTCTCCTAATTGTTTAAGGTTTGTATGCTGTTTACAGAAGTTTTCCTATTACAGATCTTGGTTTTATTTTATTGAGCTTGTAGAAGCATAATCGCTTGGCTGGTGGCTGTGGAAACCCCTGTTTGCACGTGCAAATCAAATTGATAATTGACTGAAAGCAACCTCCTTCCCCTGTTTACACATGCAAATCAAATTGATAATTGATTGAAAGCAACCTCCTTGTATTTGCCTTGGAAAACCATTATATTACAATAAATGAATTGCGAATAGATGTTATGACTGTGTCATGGTCGTGGTGAATAAATCCGCTAGTTGATACAGGGAAGAGACATGCAGCAGAGTAACATACTGCTGAAGTCTGTTTTTGTTTTTTATATTATATTACAGTCCATATTGATATGGTTCTTGGTTTCATGAAATGCATTGTTGTAAGCAATCCATATTGATCTGATACTGTTCTATTAACATAAAGTGGGCTGACACGATATTATCCATTTCTCCTGTTTTCCTCTAACCTTCTCCTTGGACAAGTATATGAGTGAACATTAAGCCTACCATGTCCTTGCTTCACAGGCTCCACACTTTATCATACCACATCTTTCGAATCTTCTCATCTGCATATCAAATCTGAAGAAAGTTATAGGCTCATAGCTAATGGAGATGAAATACATAAGTTATGACAAGTTAATTACCGATAAACGTTGTTCAAGAAGTCGGAGGCGGCCTCCTAGGCAGGCGCTCAGACCCAAACTTTCATCTCCACACTTTTATTTATTTATTTATTTATTTATTTTTAAATTTCGATCCCTCAACACCCCCACCACCCCCCTCCTCCCCCATTTTATTGTATATAGAATTGTCTGCTTTTTTATTTAATAAGTTAGTTTTGTATATAATTGTTAAGATGCCGGAAGCACAGATCAAACATAAACATTTACGACTTTAAACTGTAAATGAAATAATTATAACTCAAACGCAACATTAAAAGTTTCAAAAGTCATTAGCAAAAAGTCATATCCGACCACCAAAGGCCACAAAGTACAAAAAGTCTTCTTCATCCCGCAATTATTTAATAAGCATTAACCAAATATTAAACTAACTAATAACAAAAATTATGGTTTATGAATCAATAAATCGAAAAAACATATTATACAAGCAATTATTTAATAACCATTAAGCAATTATTAAACTAACTAATAAAATAGAAATGGTTTATGAATCATACAATTAAATTCATGTATAAAACTAAAAAAAGAAGTCAAAAACAATATTCATTCGGTTTGGCGGCAATGGACATTTTTATTAAATTGCTTTCCCAATGACCCAAACTACATATTCAAATGGAAAAATAATAATCCAAATACACAATAACATATGAAATATATATTACAAAGAAAAAATACAAATAGCATATAGTAACATCATTAGACATTAAGGGGAAGAATAAAATACAAAACCTATTGAAATATACCAACCTTCTTGAAGTGCACTCGATTTTGGGTCAAACTGAAATGTTTGGGATCCCAAATCTCTTCTTTTACAACCCTTATAAGCCTCAAAAACATTGGGGATGAATATCCTTTATTATTGTAAACATTCGAGGATTTTGAAAAAAAATTTGATATCTCAAAAAATCTTCAAATCTAGCCTTTTTTAAGTTATTTCTCACTCTAAAGTTCACTAAAATTGTTTTGGGGGTAAGAATGACCCCCCTAAACCCTTAACCCCCATTTTAAGGGGGTAAAATTACATTTTTTGCCCCTCTCCCAAAATATTTTTCCTGCCAAGTTCGAGGCAGCACCTAGGCACCCGCCTTTTATACTGCCTAGGTGGGTGCCTATCTTATTCCGCCTAGACCACGCCTAGGCAAAAAGTCTGCCTAGGCGGCGCCGGGCGGCTGACTTTTTGTTGATAAAGAAAGAAAAACACAGGCTGTGGTCTTTCTCTTTTGCTGGAATCGAGGGGCAAAGTGATCAATTTACAAGCTAGGTGTAATCTGAGAAGTATTTATTAGTATTTTGGGTATGAATATTCTTTGCATAGATACCATGTTTTCTTAGAATGAAAGTCAAAATGTAGTAGATGCCTTGAGTGGTTTTAGGTGGTTTCCGGTTGTCCATTGTATGGAAACATAATTGGGGCCTTTACGAGACTCTAGATTTGTAATGGAGAATATTTGAGACATTGTATAGTGCCTAATTTTGATTTTTATGAACAGTGAATTCCCCGGGGCTGCTTCGTCTTGTTGTTTTCTTCACCCTTCTCTTCCAATTTTGTGTCAACAATCGTCTTCTTGTATTTACTGACTAGGCAGTGAGAAGATATTCCTGATCAAACATAGGTCTGGTGTTGATTAATAACTTTATGCATGTTCCATACTTTGGGAACTTACTATTCCTTGAGCCTAACTCGTCATTTCGTCACTTCCAATTCACTCCCCCTCTGTTGTTTCTGCCGCCCTTTGTAGCAGTCATCCTTTTTCATGTTCACTTTCTACCCCACATTTCCTCTCCAACTTCCTGTCATTAACCCCTTGGACTATGTTTTTTTTTTCTCATTTGTATTTTTTCCTTGGAGCCTCGCAACCAGGGACCAATGTATGATCATCTGATTGGCTCTCTTATGTCAAACTCTTTGAGGAAACATTCTCTTCCACAAAATATTCCTGTTTCATCTACTCATCGTAAACTCATCCTGTTTCATCTACTCGAAATTTCTTTGACCAACAATGATGTCCTCCTGAGACTAATAATTATGGCTCATGTTGTCTTTTTCTGTTGATCTCCTTACTAAAACCTTCTCATGAGCAGGATAACCCTGACCATTGTGGTTTCCTTTAACCTGCCGTAAACCTTTTTTTATGCTCACCTAGGGATAACACTCTTAGTGAACATAAGTGCCTTAATTGGACCCAATAGCTTTGAACGAGTTTACTTGAATCTGTTTTCTTTTCTTAAGCTTCTTTCTGTCTCTAGTATCACATGATTGCGAGAGGTGGTAATGTCCTGTATGGCTATGTGGTTCATAATGTGTAGTTGCTTGGATTTGGTGAGAGAAATCGAATACAATCAAAACGATACTTTTGATAATTCTACTAATTTTTTTCCTTCATAATATTCATTGGAGTCTGACTCTGTCATGTTGAATAGCTAACTTGCATTTCTTTGATTCTTTATATGATATACAACCGTAACTGCAGCTGTTTCATATCAAGAAACTGTTTCCCTTCTACAGTTGCATATTCTACTAGATTTAATGCTTTTGTGAGTTTTAATTCGACTGAATTTATATCTTGGCATTGCCTATAAGGGAAGTATGCTGCAATCCAGTGGAGCATAGAAGAACCAGTCTTTCAGTTTATACCATACCATCCTAACACCAGTGAACTGTTTCATTCTGTGTTTACCGTAGTTTTCTTTGTTTGGAATCTTCTTATGCATGTTGTTCTTCCTGCTGGCATTGCTTTTATTATCTTAACGGAGCTTTTGGCCCTTTAATATTTCTATCATCATACTTGGCACCAAATGAAACTACTTTTGTGCTTGATTGAAGAAAGGGAAATGTCGAAGTATATAAGGTTATCTCAAGAGCCCTGCACTTTAGCTATTTCTTTTCTGGCGTGTCATTATCCAGAGAGGCTATCCTGCCTACCGATATAGCTAAATGGGCATCAGAGGGAACAATTCCATATTTGGCTGCTTTTATCGGCATTGATAAATGCTTGAGTAAATCTTCAAAGGCGTGCCCGTTGAGCTCAAGATTGTTATTCTGTCCTATGCAAGCGGTGGCGGCGCAGTGCATAGAGAAAGCTGCCTCCTCTGTTGCTCAAGATATAGGCTTGCACCTTCCTCCTGTGAATTTCTATTTAATTTCTTGTCGGTATGTAAAAAATCTATCACTTCCAGATGATAGAATTCTTCCATATGCGTGCCGGATATATGAGTGGTTGTTCCCCCCTGACTTACAATTATCATCGAATGACTGCCGGCTGCCAACTCGTGTTTATGTTTTCGCCATATTGGTCATAGCGATCCGACTGTTGTACAATATAAATGGGCTACGGCATTGGGAGAAAAGCTTGCTTGGTTTTTGTGGCAATTATTCCTTGGATGAACAAGACAATAAACATGAAATGAAAAATGAGTTTCTCCATGCTGAAAATGGCCAACTTGATAGCTTTCTCACTGGGAAAGTGGCCAACTCGATATCCACCCCGCTTTATCAGAGTTCTGAAAGGGAGGCTAGCAAATTGTTACAACATCTTGAATCCACTTATGACAAGATTATTCTTAAACACGGTAGTCTATAAAAAGAGCACTTCTATCTTTTGGCTTTGAGTTGCCTAGGCATCCTGTCCTGGAATCTATCTTAGAATCCATTGAACTGTGGGGAAACCATATAGTCCTTGGATCATCATCATGCAGTAAGGTGATGGGCGTTGATGGAGTGTAGGATGCGGATTGGGATGCATGTCGTATTCTGGTCAATTTGTTTTCTCCATCACCATCCATTTCAGTGGGCAATGTTGACTCAATATGGATTATGGTTTTCCTTTCATCCATTTGATTATTGTCCTTTGACTTTTGTTGAGGGATTCTTAGATATGTTTGATGAGATTCATTTATATTTCTTGAACTCTTTGACCTGTCATAGATGGCCCTCCTTTTTATCCCTTTGTTTTTCTCTGTGGTGCAATATTAAAAATTGTAATTTACTTTTATCTGAATTTTCTCTTCTAAAATCACGAACTCATATGAATCGATTCCTTTGATCTGCTCATAGATTATTCGAAGGACATGACAACTTACCCTAAATACTGTAAGGATGTTGTATTTGCTGGATTAGTACCATCATATTCTGAGGGGCAGACAATATCATATTTCTGAAAAATTTATGAGGAACAAGATCAGGTGAATTTTAAATTTGGTGGCTGTTGATTTTTATTAATGCGATGTCTATTCAATTGTATGCAACACAGTATCATCTATGATATCCTAAGTTGAAAATCCCATGGGACAATTCAGCCACTTTTTGCATTTCTGTTGAAAATTTCAGTTCTAAATGTCACTGAATGCTAATGTTTAGGAAATACTAGTCATTCTTTATTGGAGGCTTTGGCCAAAGTTTGGTTAAATTAGGATGATATCTTAATCTTGGAATTATACGAGTTCTGCAATATTTTCTTTCATAACTTATAGTAATTGAATTTCAATTTTCCTATTTTTGGCATTTCTCTACTGCTGAGTCTTGCTAGTTGTAGTTTCACATTTGATGTTAACCTCATGATATGAATTATATTGCTGATACAAACTTAAATATGGAGAAAATAGGTGGTTTCCCTAAGTACTTGTCCAGTGAACTGAAAATTTTACAGCAAGGTAAACTTGCTGTAGCACTCCTGAGCTCATAAGAGATTCAGGATTTTGCTACTAATTAAAATTAGTGCTCGTTTGTTGTTTCGGGTTGCAAACATTTCTAAAGTCTAAATGTCTGCAAATGCCAGGGCTTTTAATGATGCAACTCATGTCAACTCCCACTAGCTTTCTATTTTAACTATCTGCAAGTGATTCTTGAGTCTGTAGTGGTCACTGTTGTTGTCGTCACCACTTTGCCATTTTCCCCTCCCCCATTTCTATTGCGACATGTTGGTGACAATTACACATGTATACATAAAACATACACACATAACACAATGCGTTGATGTTGCCCTACCTGATTTCTAGCTGCCCCAACTAAACACCAATATAAGGTATTTACTTGAAGTTCTCTTTTGAGATATGATCTTGTGAACGATTTCTGGATACTTGACCTGCTTTTACCAAGATCATGTCTGTGTCCAATGTTCTCTGCTTCAATTCACAGTTTAACATTTAACAATGAGCAAAATAATGGGATAACTGATGATTAATCTCAATTCTGATTTTCTAGAGTTTTGGACATGAATATTGAAGAAAGTTTAGATTTATTATATGATTTGTTCCCCTTTTCCACGATGCAAATCGATTGTAATGATTTCTCATACATGTCGAGACCCTATTTCTATTTTTGGAATTGGTTAATCTTTCTTGAATTCTTGAACCCTAGGGACCACCACAGCCTAGTAGACCCTAGTCAACTTTTTAGATATAAACCAAAAATTTAGACCTATCCAAGCCCTAAAATAATCATTCTAGATAGCCCTAAGCCCAATAGACATAGGAAACCAACCCAGACACCGATACCCCAAAATCTGAAACTGATACCTAAAAGTCCTAGCCCTTTAGACTCTTCTAAAATAGCCAAATTTGGGCCAAATATGATTCTAAATTGAAGAAGAGATCATAAGCTTTCCAAAGGTTCAAGAATCACCTGAATCCGATTCACTTGAGAGTTATGGTCCAGACAATTTTGTTGCCCATAAATTTCCAGAATGGTCCCTGCAAAAATGTCAAAACGCCCCAGAATTTTCTGGAAGCTATGTGGTGGATTTTGACTGTCTGATAAGCATAATTTTGACCCAAATATACCTAGGATAAGTACAAATACGTTTAGGATAAATATAACATTTTTTTAGAATTTTTTTTAAAATTATCCTTAACCTACTCCTATTTAACCCCCTTAAAAAATACTAAATAGATCCCAAAAGATTACCTAAAATAAACTTTGAAAATTCCAAAAAAAATCAGAGAAAACCCAAAGATTAAAATCAATCCTTAAATCTTAGGAAAATTACCAAAAATCCCCTAGGTTAGCAGCCCTAACCCTTCTAGATCTAAGAAACCCTAGCGATTCAAATTCCTAATTTTCATTTTTAAGCCTAAGCCTTAGGAAGCTAGACCTACACTTCTTCAAGAAGAAAAGTGTCATTGTTAAACCTAAACCTTAGGAAGCTAGCCTTAGGCATCTTCAAGAACAAAAGTGAAGGAGCACGATGTAAACAACTTGCAGTCCTGATATGGGCTCTCTTATTTATTTATTTCTTTAATTTTTGTTTCATTTCATTTTTTTGGAAGTTCATATATTCTTAGATTTAGTTAAATTTTAAGAAGTTTTTTAAAGTAAGTTCTAATATGTGGATTTGGAGCTAGCTCTGCCAGTGGACTCAGAAGAGGATCAGATCTGTATAAATATGTGACGTTTCTTAGCCTATAATTTGAGCGATCCCACTCTCTCTACTATTCATAAAGTTAACTCGTTTTGTATGGTAGTTAAGTTCATCTCTCTCTGAGATCGACGCAAATTCGAATGTAAAACAGTTTGATGCCTTCCTTCTAGTGTCAAAACTGTTTACACTCGGATTTGTGCCGATCTCAGATAGAGATCAACTTAAATACCATGTGAAATGAGTTAATTTTATGAATAGTGGAGCGAGATTGCTCAAATTATGGACTCAGAAACGTCACAAATCTATATAGATCTGATCCTTTTCTGCTTCCACTGACAGCACCAAATCCGTATATTAGGCCTTTAATAAACTTCCTAAAATTTAACTAAATCTAAGAATAAATGAATTTTTCAAAAATGAAATAAAATAGTAAATTAAAGGAATAAATAAATAAAAGAGAGAGGAAGAGCACTTACATGAGAAACCCGGAGTTCGACCTGTATCCGGACCGTGGGTTGTTTACATCATGCTCATTCACTTATGTTCTTAAAGATGCCTAGTTCTAGCTTCCTAGGGCTTGGGTTTAACAAAGACACTTTTCTTCTTGAAGATGCCTGGGTCTAGCTTCTTAGGGCTTGGGTTTAACAATGAAAATTAGGGATTTGAATCGCTAGGGTTTTTGAGATCTATAAATGCTAGGGTTTGAGAGGTTTTTGCAAACCTAGGGGATTTTTTGTGATTTTCCTAACATTTTATGGTTGTTTTAATATTCGGGTTTTCTCTTATTTTTTGGCAGTTTTTGGAATTTATTTTAGGTAATGTTTTGGGATCAATTTGGTATGTTTAAATAGAAGTAGGTCTAAAAAACAGTTTTACTTGTCCTAAAATATGTATAGTTATCTTAGGGAAATTTGGGCCAAAAAGTGCTTATCAAAAAGTCAAAACCCGTCACAATGGCTTCTAGAAAATTTAGAGGGCATTCTGAAATTTCCTCAGGGATCATTCTGGAATTTTTGGTAAACAATATTTTCCGGACCATAACTCTCAAACGGTGAATCGGATTCAGGCGATTCTTTGACTGTTGGAAAGTTCATGGCCTCTTCTTTAATTTAGAATCATACTTGGACCAATTTGGTTGAGTTTAGAGGGGTCTAAAGGGCTAGGACTTTAGGTATCGGTTTCAAGTTTTGGGGTGTTGGATTGGTGTTTGGGTTGGTTTCCTATGTCTATTTGGCCTAGGTCTATCTAAAATGATTATTTTAGGACTTGGATAAGTCTAAAGTTTGGGTTTTATGTCTAAAAAGGTGATTAGTGTCTACTAGGCTGTTGTGGTCCCTAGGGTTCAAGAATAAGGTATCTACATTATTCATCTTGCATTTTTTTCTAAAAACCTCTAAAATGTTCCAATCCTACCTCTCCTCATTCCTCAAAACTAAAAGCTCTTGTATGAGAATTTTGTTTGTGTGTGTGCGTAAGAGAGAGAGAGAGAGAGATGTTTGCAGGAACATTGCTACTTGGATGAGCGGTTGCCTTTTTTCTGTTCATTTCAATTGACTTTGAATCTCCAATATTTTGGTGTATACTCTCCAGTTGTGTGCTGGATTCAATTTCCATTTGTGTTATTTAATTTTACTTCCATGTTCCTTTTTTTCTCTCATTAGTGACATAATGAGACGTACTCCCGGTCTCCAAATGCAACGTGTCATGAAACATAAAAGCTTGAAATATCTCTCTATTTCAGGGTGTACCATCACCATCTGAACATATGGAAAGCTCAATGAGGTATCAAAGTCCGAGACAGGGAAAGTGCGGAAACAGATAGGTAGACAAAGCATGACTGTGAGACTGAAGCAATTGAAGTTATTGGGAAGATAATATTGGATATGGAAGCAAATGGTTTTTGGTATCTGAGGCCCAGGTTGCATCCCTGAACGAAGGCTTATCTTATCTATCGGAGGAAGGTGGTTGATAGGAGGTATACATACTTGGTCCATGCAGATTGTTACATATTGATTTGGGCCTTTGCCAAGCTGGTCAGCTTAATCCCCAGACCTTACATTTGGCCTTATTGAGGCTAGACAGGAGGCTATACTGAATTGAGGACCTGATAGATAGACACTTGCATGCTTTGTCCAACATACACAGTTGAGCTGAATAAGGGAGAAGAAATTTTGTTGGTGTTTTTGTTTGTAGTTTTGGCTGGGTAAAAAACACAACCTTAAGGTTGAATTGTTAGCTTGAACCTGGGAAATTTTGTACCGGTGAAACTGAAGTTTCAGGAATAGATCCTGGGTGAGTCAAATCAATACAAGGAATGATGAGGATACCCTTCTTTAATCTTCTATAGATGGATCACTGCAGATTTCTGACCTATATCAGTCTACAAGGTTATATGTGCATTGCCTTTTTCGAAACTTATAAGGTTGACATCTTAAACTGTAAAAATAAGGTGCACCTCTAAAATCCTTAAAAAAATATTGTTTTGATGATGGAAAAACGACATCAAGATGTATAGATATGGAGAAAACAAGAGATTTAGATGTATAGATTTGGAGAAAACAAGAGATTTCAAATCAATAAAGTATTAGATTTGGTAACGCATTATGTGGACTATTCATTTTCAAGATTTTCATGTGTTTTATAGATGTGCTTGATTTGAACCATTTTTGCAACTCAAAATTTTATAATTAGAGATAAAAATATATTGTTATACCATCCTAAGTATTTTGACATCAAAATTGTATCTCATGATAAAGCTTGGAATTGCACTTTACTTCGATTGTTTAAAGTTGCAACTATATGCAAATATAAATATATATATATATATATAATATGAGAAAAGATGGGATTAGCCCACTAGCTCATATGAACATATGAGCCTAACGTCTCAGATCTGGGCCGATCTGACGATCACGAATGTCCGGTAGTGTTTGAATTTTAGTTGTTTTTGTTACAAATCCAAATCACTTGAAATTTTAAATGTATGTTTATAAAAACTAGGTGAATTTTTGAAAAATATAAAAAAATATTTTACATGAAAACAATTGACCAAAATACCTCCAAAATGTTTTGGGGTGTATTTTTTTTGCAGATAATTTTTTTCTTATATTTTTATTAGGTGCGTCTTGATGAGAAGAACATACACCTAAAATTTCAAGTGATTTGGATTTGTAAAAACATAAATAAAATTCAAACACTACCGGACGTCTGTAATCGTTAGATCAGCCCAGATTCAATCTGGGCCGTTGGGCTCATATGTTCATATGAGCTAGTGGGCTAATCTCATCTTTGCCTTATATATATATATATATATATTGAAATTCAGATAGAGCATTTTTTAGACTAAAAGGCATGACATTCTATTCAAATTGGCTAAATGGTACATTAAATGCTGTTTTATATTTATCTTCTTCTTTGATTTGGATTTGCCAAAATCCTGATTTCATATCAAATTTAGAAAAGATGACTACATTGACAAGTTTGTCTAATAAATCTTTTTTATTAGGAATTGGATATCTAATCAATTGTAAAACTTTATTAAGAGGTTTATAATTGATAACTAGTTGTTGAGCTCCTCTTTTTTTTTCAGCACTCTTATTTACATAAAACGCTGAGCAACTCCAAGGGGATTGACTAGGTCTTATTAGTCTTTTCTGGATTAAGTCGTCTATTTCAGCTTTGCAGGTTTGTAGTAATTCACTGTTCATTTGAATTGGTCTAGCCTTTGTGGGTATTTTCTTTTTATCAAAATCAGGCTTCTAAGGTAAACTAATAATATGTTGTTTCTTATTCCAGAATGCATTAGGTACATCATTACTTATTTATTTTTCAATTAATGTTTTAAGGGATTGTATTTTCTGCATTAATTCAGAATTTTGTAATTTTTCACATATTATTTTATGTTTGATTTCTGTCTGTAAAGAATATTACTAATACATCTCACAAATCGAAACAAAAAACCTCAATGGACTTAGTTCCTTTTAATTCATCTGAGCCTCCTATGCTCAGCCAACCCTTTTTACCAATATAACCAATGTCTCTACTAAGATCTACCAATGTACCAGAATATTTTATCCAAAGTCCAAAACATAATACACCAAGTCCTGCTTTGTCTCCAGCCCAAAACCCAAATAAGCCAACCTCCTCAATACCTAAATCTACTTACATAGATAATGCTTTCCTAGCTGATATTCCCATCAATGGAAAACACATTCACATTGACCCACATAAATTAGCTCCCCTTTACTTTCAAAACCATTTAAACCCAATCAATGGTATCAAAACTCGTGAATGGTATGAATCCGTTTTAAAGGAAACATGATCAAGTTCCATTGTTCATTTCTTTCAAGGAAATACAAACTTGTATGTTTATTCTAAGCTACAGATCAAAAAATTACTTACTTATGAGGATTGGGGTAACAACCCTACTCAAGGGAAAAAATTATTAAATACTGAATACCAATATAAATATTTTCGGTATGCTGAATATATTAAAGCCTGGCATAAAGTCTTTTTATACCAGAATCCTAATAATACTCATTCCTGGTACATACAGTTCAAAATGCCTATACTTGAAAGGTTTCTTAGCTGGTTCCGTCATTGGTTCCTTATTTGGGGATCTTCTACTCAAATATTGCCAGACAATTTCCAAGCCTTCCAAAATAAATTCTCTGAACATAATACATGTACAGATTTGATAGACTACCATCTTTATTTCATGTCTATCTATCAAATACCCTTAGATCTGTAAATGGGAGTATGCTATTTTTGAAAATAATTCTAATAATTATACATATATTCCTCGTCTTGGGAAAACTATAAAAATCAAATGGTGGGATATATTTAGCACTGACCCACGTTCTTTTCTTCTCAAAAGGATTCTTCCATCCTCTGAGATATATAATACTTCTGCTCATAATACTTCACCCAATACTGTTGACCTACATACTTTCTCTTCTTATATTAAGCAAATGAAACAAGCCTATCCCAATGCTACTCTTGCTGAACTAGAACAACAACTCTTTGGAATATTTGTTGAACCATCTACAATGCCGGCAACTTAAGAAGAAACGGTCCAATCTTGTAATCCCTTACTGGAGGATTTCAGTAAAAAACCAAACCCGTAGGCCCAATAATCCATAATATCTTATCTACAACATATTCCAGATCTGATATGACCCTCTCCTTCACTTGATAAGACTTGCTATGACCCTCTGAACAGTAAAAGTATGACTCCTTTATTCGATAAGACCCCAGCAAACGGAAGTGACCCCAAGCACAGTACAAAGATTTCGTTTTTGATTTGACTAAATATTAGTCACATTAGATCCTTCGTCTGCGAATAAGAAGTCACATCAAAACCTTCATCTGCGAATAAGAAAGCGTCCACGTCTTCATCACCGACAGTCCTTATCTACAAAGCATCTTCCAGCCAGCGTCCACGTCTTCATCACCGTCATGCCTTATCGCCAAAGCATCTTCCATCATATCAATATGGAATCTTCGTCCACCTGGCGGCCATCGACGCCCTACTCCATCTATAAAACCCCATCTCTGCTGAAGTTAGATGCAGGTTGCATTCAAGGAAGCCTCACAACCACATCAGAAGTCCTTCTTCAATACTCCTTTCTTTCTTGCTCTCTCTGCTCTTCTCTTTCCTTTTCTTTTTACTATAGTAGGACAACTTTCTCTCCTGTACACCGCTTACTACAAAGTCGGTAACGTTAATTTTTCTCATGTGTGATTGTAATATCTCTTCTCTTCCTACTTACTGTCCATCAGAATAGAAGTTGTTTAATAGCTATTGTATATGTCAACAGTAAGTTTCATGTAAACATTACTAAATCGTTGTAATATTATGAATTTGATGTTATAGTTATGAAATGAAATTAAAATTAGTTTTGAGTATTAAAATTAAAAATTCCACTCATACCTCTTGGATTATATTTAATGTTTCTAGTTTATGTGATCTTCATAATATTTGTATTTCTCTATTATATAGGAATTTGATGACAATTAATTAACTATAATTATGCTTTATTCATGTTTTTAAGATAAGATTTATGCAAAATAACTTAGGGTAGATCTTGGCGCGTTTATGGTATCAAAGCAAACCCCATTCACATCTGTTCACTATCTTACCTTAGAGAATCACTAGTTTTAAGAACACCTTCATCATAGGAAATCTAAGAAAATTATCCATTAAAGAAAGTTGGTCCGAGAGTTGAGGTTAGAGACGCTCAGACACCCAGTCTAAAGACCGTTAAGGCCAGGAGAGCCGCTGAGGTCGAAACAGACATAAGAGGTAGTCAAAGAGGACTGTCCAGATAACACTCATCCCCAACGTAATAATGAAAAATTTTATTAGAAATCTTACTGATAAAGCTGTTGGACAAACTAATAATACTCTAAGGATTAAGAATAAAGAAGAAATAATTATAAATGATATTGAAACCAAATACAAAATTGGAATATACCAAAAGTTCCTTTATCTAATATATATAAAAAAAGAACCTTTAATATAAAAATAGGTTATGCTATAAAGACTGTAGAACAGTCTTTGTCTGTTACTAGTAACCAGGAAGACTTTCAACTTTTATCAAACAAAATATTACAAGAACATAAAAATAAAAATTATAAATATCTACATATTGGGTTAATACAAATAGCCAATTAAACCATTAATAAGATTAGGGCTTAACAATTCTTTTCTTGTATGCTTAAGAGATACAAGACACAATAGGTTTTCTGATTCATTACTTGAAATGGTGGAGTCCAGTCTTTGTAGTGGACCAATATATTTTAGATGTTTCCCTTATTATTCTGTATCTTTAACAGATCCTAATATATTAAATGTTTTATCTTTAAATCTTAAAACACAAGGATTTGATATGATGCAAGGATCCCAAAATATTGCAATAGTCTATCGTATTTATTATAAAGTTATATGTCCTAATGTTCTTGAAGTAGATAAAGAGGTCAAACTATATTATTCCAAACTAATATAGAAAAATCCAACACTATAGTTCCAAAAACAATATCTTGGTCTGATATAAGATTACTAGAATCATGGTTAATACACAATAACAACCAACCATCACAAATTCCAGTTCAAAACATTCCTGACAGGATTGTTGAACATATTAATAGAAACATCGAAATACAATTTCCAAATCACCTAAGTCGTTCTCATCAGGATGATTCAGTAATTTATAATAGTTCAATGGATGAATCGTCCAGAAAATCGGTCACAATATATGACAGACCACAAAGGCCTACATCTAAAAACAGTCAACAATCTGAACCACAAATTCAAGGACTATTAAGAACATCTGAAAATATAATTATTCCTCAATATAAACCGGCCCAAGATGAGCCTGATAAATAAGAATTTCAAATATTGACCCTTACAGAAGAAAGAAAACCAGATAAAAGTTATATTACTAAGGACTATTTATCTGAAAAAAATGCAAGTATACGTCATTGGTATCTTAATACTTTTGAACCTAGATTGGTAGAATTATTCCATAAAAAGTTTAATAATTTTATTAAAAATGAGGAAACAACAATATGTTTATTTGATTGGTAAAGAAATATATGTAGAGATAAAAGTATTGAAATACCTGATTTTGAAGTCAATACTCTTGAATCTCAATTCACAAAATTCAATACTACTAGTGGCAAAGAAATCACTTGTATACATCCTCCAGAACAAAGTCTAACCATTAAAGGAGTTAATAAACAACTCTCCGAAAAAGATACAGATGAATCAAGTACTTCCACCCAAATAGTTGTATATGAAACAACAACAACCCCATATAAATTAACTTCTTCAGATGTTACAAGATTTGACTTACTTCGTCAAATAATTGAACAAAATAATTATACGAATCTCTACCTACAAACCATCGGCAAACAAACAGTACGAATTGAAAATCTTTTATCTCCAGCTCCATCCATTCCTGTACTAAAACAATTACTATTTAAACCTCCTCCTGAGTTAAATAAAGAAAATTTCTTATCGGAGATGATAATAAAACATTAATGGATCAATTTATATCAAAATTATCGAAACTTGATATTACAAATAAAGCTAAAGAGAAGGTTCTTGAACAATTATCAAAACCTTAATGCTTCAGGAAGAATTTGATGAATCTATGGATGATACAATTGAAAATAGAGAACAGGCATTTAATTAGTTTATGATACCTAGTCCACATACAGATGAAATCCAAAGAATTGCATATTCCAAAAATTAGAAACCTGCAACAGTCTTACCATATCATAGAAGACCAATACCTGTTGATATCCAATTCGAAGAAGCCTTCATATCCAATACTTCTTCCTATTCGGAAAAAATTGTAGTAAACTGGAATATAGATGGAATATCTGAACATCAAATTTTAGATACCATGAGACATATGAGCATGTATGCTTCTGCATGCAAAATGGTAGGAACCCATGATCAAGAAATAGCAAAAGCCATAATCTATGGTGTTACAGGATGGTTACGTGGATGGGGGATTTCCATCTCTCAGAATCTATTAAAAAACAAATATTAAATAATACAAGACAATGGACTAAAAAAATGAACAAAACCAAGAAGTCGTTTATACCGAAAGTGATGCAGTCAATACACTAATTTATACTATTGCTCTCCATTTTATAGGAAATACCGCTGTCTT